GGCCTGATCTGCTCTCCTTTAGCAAAGAAAAAAAAAGAAAATGCAGAGGACCTCAGTGGTTCCTGGGAAGGCTCGAGTCTGCCAAGAGATGCCCAAGGATTTGGGTTCCAAGTGCTACTTCTACAAGGTGTTTGCTTTGTCAGGAGATGATGGGCAGCCCTGTGTCTGCTTCAGCAATCAGTGGGAGCTGATGCATGGAGCATCCCAGCACCATCTCTGGAGAGCTGTTTTCTCCCACGAGCCACAGAGAAGATGCTACAGTGACAGCAGAAGTCTGGGCAAGTGAAACTTGTGCCATTCTGGAGTGACAGGAAAGCTCTAGTGATTCCCATTTGCTCCTTATGGACATCCAAAGTGAGCACAGTAATCATATCATTGCTTCTTAAAAGTCGTCACTGAGCAAAAGAAGGTTGGATGGCAGCAGAGAGGTAGAGAAAGTAGGTAGGAGAAACATGAAAATTAAAACAGACTCCTCTGCACCTTGCACAGATGGGAGGGAATGTCTCTGTAAAGTTCCCACCACCACAAAAGCCCCTTCTGCCGTGTAAAGGAGCAATCTACCTTTGAGGGGGAGAGGAAATATGGCAAAGGAGCAAGGATAAACAAAGTGTGGATCAAAGGGAAAAAAAAGGCAGCAAAAACATGGAAAAGTGCTGATGGGGGAAGCTGGGTGAAAGACAAGGAAGAACTGTGAGCTGCTCGAATTAACATTTTAATGCATTCACCATAAAATTTAAGCACTTTAAGCACTGGGGTGGCTGCTGAGTAAACCCCCTTCAAAAGGAGCAGATTGGTGACTTAACACCACAAAATCAGCAAGGTCCAGGTTTCACCATCAGCAGATGCACTGCAGTTATCAGGGGCAGATAATGTGACAATATTTGGTCAATGAGTTTTGAGGTCACCAGTAATGCCCGTGATGGAACAAAAACACAGAACATATGGCATTTCATGTGCTGAAACTGTCAGACTCACAATTAACTGATTAGAGTGCATATGGTGCTCACAGACAGGGGAAATCTCTCAATGTAAAAGATGCTGGAGACCACTGAAGGTGTCAGCATGAGTCTTCCTTGCAAATCTCTCTTCATTAAAGTTTCGTATGGAGCCAGGAGGGTTGTAATAAAATCACTATTAATGCATTTATATTTATGATTATCTCTTTTGTGCAGCTGGATTTAACTTTTCAAACACTGAACTCCACATCAAAGCTTTTTCACAGTGGCTGCTGCATGTGCAGAAGCTTTTTGTTTTGACATATTTAGCTTGAAATTTACAGTAACGAGAGCTAAGGTGGTAAAAGTTAACCAAGATTGGCAAGAAAACTACTAATATGACCAGTATCAAAACAAAAATTCACTCTGCCATAGAAATACAGTTAGATTTCTGTTATTTATAACAGGCTGGCCAGGGACAAACTCATTCCCTCTCCAGTTCCAAAACACACTTTTAAAAAAGATGGTGAGTGACACTTCATTAACCACGTGAAATGGGCTGACACAGCCTGCTTGCTTTTCCAGCCACCACTTCAGATGACATTTTTCTTTGCATCTCTCCATGCTTTACATTCAACACTCTGTAAAATGATTCCCTGAACCCCTCCAGCCACATCAGCCCTGTGGTGTGGGGGCTTGGGCTGGGGGCAGGCAGTTCAGGGGAGGACAAAGCAACAGCTTGTCCATGTGTTTGCATGTCCATGCATTACAGACCCAGCTTTTCTCATCCATCACCAGTGAAGGGGATTTAAAAAGCTCCCCATCAGCTTTTCTTTGCCTTTCAGTTCCTTTGCCCCATCAAGCTCTGACAGGAGTGGTTCTTCTGCAGCATCACCTCTGAAATGATGTGGGATCAAAGCATCCTGCTGTATCCCAGTTTCTGGAAGGTGTCTGTGATGCAGGTGATGTGTGATGCAGACAGTGCAGTGCTCCCAGCAGCTCTCCTGCCCAGCAAGGGCTGGGGCACAGCTCCCTGTGTGTCCTAACTCCATCCTCCCAGCAGACATCAATCCTCACAAAGCCCCCTCTTCTCACATCCCCTCTGCTCTTTTAAGCAGCTTCCCACTCCCACTTGCACACCCAGCAAAGGGCCGACCAGAGACCTCATCTCCTTAATGAGATAAAAGCTGTTGCCTCAGCCCAAAATCTTCCCAGTCCCTCACAGCTTCCTCCTCTCTCTAACTGTATTATCTCTATCACTCCATCTTCACCAGAGCTTCCTGACTGCTGCTGAAATGGAAGGGTAAGGAGTAAGGAAAAAGCCCTGTTAAGTACATGCCTTTTTTTCCTCCTCTGTTTTGTCAGAAGTGGGTTTCTGGTAACAGATTTAGGCAGGCAGAATAAACAAAAAAACCCAAACTATTAAAGGGTTCTCTTCTAGGGAGCACAAAAAGAGATTTTGTTAAATTCTTTGTAGCAAAAATTTTTTAAAAGAAAAAAGGGGCAAACACTGTGATAAAAAGCCAGAAAGTACAGACATGGTTCATAGTGCAAATGTTAAAGATTTGTGAACAAAGCTGAAGGGCAGAACCCACGAAGTATAATGCAGGAGGCTGCCTTTATCTCAGAGTCTTCAAGGGCTTTTTGAACTCCAGAAGCTCCTGGACCACAGCAATACCTGGAGCCTCCCCAGCAGAGATGGAGCACACAGGGGCTGTGCCCCACTGTCTGCTGGGGCCAGAGACCCCTCTGTGAGTATCCACAGCAGCACATCCCCTGCCAACTGCTGATCTTGATTGTTTGCCACTTTTCAACCAAGCCAACCTTCCAAAAAGCGCCAGCCTGGCCTTTTCAGCTCAAATCCATCACTGTCCCTCTCTGCAGGCCTCCCCTGGCTCTGGCTGGAGTAGCTGTGCACTGGTTGCTTTGCTGTCACAGGCATGATGCTCGTCCCGTGCTCCTCTCTCCAGTACCTGTGTGCTGCCCTCCCCAGCCCATCCACACCAGAGGCTCCCAGGATGCTCCAACCCTTCTGCCAAGACGGATTTGAACATGCTCAAGTTCCCTTTTCCTTCCCTCCTCATCAGCCTCTGTTTCTCCCACATCTCAAACACTCCAAGGTGCCTCATCCCAGCAGTCTCCTCTGCTCGTGAGCTGAGTCATGCAGGTGTCAACATTTCCAAACCTCATGGGGAGGCTCAGCAGAGCTGGGAGGGTGCAGAGCATCGAGTCAGGAGTTATTAATAGCTGCCATCGACCATCTCAGCAGCTTTGATCTACTGGCAGCTGATTACAGCTGCTGCTCCTGATGATGAAGCACCAGGGGTCCTGCCTGTACCTCAATTTCCCTTCCCAGTTTTCTGATTTTTATTGGAACAAAACACTTTCCCCCAAAATTTCAAAACAGATAGGATTCAGCAGCCAACACTGCAGTCAGAAAGGCAAACACAATCAAGCTATAGCATAAAATTTTACTTTGGGAGGAAAATATCACATCTTTGAACTCTGCTTCCAGCAAAGTCTTTGAAAGGCTTAGAGGTTGACATCACACACAACAAACCTCCAGAGAACACAGCTCCTTTCTGAAATTTTCCATGTATCCCTTAATCCATATCCATGGAAATAAACTTAGAATTTGTTCCCTATAAATAATTAAAGGGGTAAAAGCAAATGGTTCCCACAGTCTTCCATGCTTTCATCTGAAGAAGAAAAGATAATTTGCTATTGCCTGAAGACAACACAGCACACCTGACACATTCAAGGAAACAATTCAGAAAATCTCCCTGCAACAACCTGGAGTCACTTTGGGAACAACTAAGGAAGCAGAATAAAATAGCCACCTATCCCTTTATGTCAGCATCATTGAATCCTGCTCTGTCTGCTGGGAAGCAATACAATGTTCAAAAGACAAAACAGAGAAACATTCTGAGGCAGATGAATTCAGGCAAATTTCCATTTTGCCTGGTGTTACCAGCTAACTTCTCTATCAGCTTGCCCAAAACTTGGCAAAATTCATTTTCAGAGAAACAGAAATAGAGCTATACCAGGACACTGATCTACACCACGTTGTGCTGTTCTACGGATTTAAAGATCTCTGGAGCCAGTACTGCCTGAAAAAAGTCCCCATCTCCCAATACAAGGAAAGAGCATTTTTAAAGATGCCAGAAACAACAGAGTTTTGTGCAGAGTGAGACAGTTCACTCTATGGCTTGAGCATGAACCCAAGCAGCAATTTCTACCAATCTACTCTATTTGAATTATAGCATCTAAATCTGCATGATGATGGAATTAGACATAAAGAAAAACACACATACTTATGACTATTGTAAAGCCTGATGTAATAAAACTGCCAAGCTTTAAGATCACAGATATATTCGAAATATTTCAAATCATGACCACAAAGCCCATTCCACTAAGCACAACAGAAGAGAGGAACGATTGGGCCAATGAAGGTTAACATTTAGCTCACTGCAGTCACATTTCAGATTGCAAATTTTCAGAAAGACAACTAAGGAGAATATAAGAATTCCTTTAGGAAATACTCCTATCTTTGGACAGAATGTTTTCTTTTTTATAGAAAACCAAGTAAAAAACATATAACAGTTCATCAGTATTCTGGGGTTTTTCAGGCCCAATGCCAAGAAGTGCAGAATTTACAGCAGACACACACTTTGCTTCTTCAACCCTTAAGTAAAACTGTTGTAAACACAAGTTGCTCACACTGTGTACAGCAGAGCCTTGACTACACATGTGATAGAGTGAATTTCTGCCTACACCACAGAGAAGACCCCACACCTCCTACCCCTTCCCAACCCTTTCACCACAGGGAGTGGCTGCCCCTCCAGCCATGCAGTGCAGCCCAGCACACCCAAAGATGATAATTCTTGGCTTCTGCCAGCTTCAGCTGCAGAGCAATAACTCGTGGCTCTCATCGATCCTGGAATTTCGGAGCGCGAACGTCACAAATCCGGCTCCGGCAAGAGCAGATCCCATCACCAGGAAACTCCATCTTAGAGGACTCAACTCCTCCACCCCTGGGGTTGGAGCAGGATGCTGCTTTGTTACCTCCAGCTCGGTGTTGTGAGCGTGCAGCTTCTGCACCATGTCCTCGGCCTCGCGCATGCGGCGGCTCAGCTGCGGAGAGTGCTCGGCCGGGGTCAGCTCGCTGTCGTACGACTCCAGGATGGCCCGCATGCCGTCACGCTCCTGCCAGGAACAACAGCAAAACACGCGGGGATTAGAGACCCAGAGCACACAGCCTGCCTGGAACTACAGCAAAGCATTCAGGGATAGAGCCCCTGACTGCACACCCTGCCAGAACAACAGCAAAACATTCAGGGATGGAGCCCCTGACTGCATACCCTGCCCAGGAACAACAGCAAAACATTCAGGGATGGAGCCCCTGACTGTACACCCTGTCAGAACAACAGCAAAACATTCAGGGATAGAGCCCCTGACCAAACATCCTGCGCAGGAACTACAGCAAAACATTCAGGGATAAAGCCCCTGACCGTGGTCCAAGAGCCTTCTACAGCTTTGCCCATCGTTCTTTTATGTGGCAACTCAACTCTGATGGATGTACACTCATCATCTTCATATCAGCCTCAAGGCACAGATGAACGCACAGTTCCAATAAAATAAATGTTGCTGCTGTGAAAACTGAAAAATTAGACTGTCTTGTGTCTGTAAAACCCCATATCCTTTGCAGGAAAGCAACATGCAGACACTCTAACAAGCAGATGGCAACTGAAAACAGAGCCTGCCTTCTTCCTGAAGACACTCTTCTAATTCAACATGGCTGAATGGGTTTCCTCAGCAAAATATTTAGTGTTGTACTCGACATTTTTCCTGCCAGAGCCTCGGCAAAGAAAGAACACAATTGTCAAAACAGAAATGAAACAGATTTGACATCGAACAAAGTGGCTGAGAGCAAATATCCTCAAAATGGTATGTGACTTATCACTTGTTAGATGTTACAACACTCAGTGCTTGTAACAAACATTTTTTCAGAGGTTAATGTTTGGCTCACTTCTCTATCTATTGGCAATTATAACCAGGCATTTGCAGAGAAAGACAAACAGAAGGATCCTTCTCCCATCCATGAGAGCAGCTCCCCAATTATAAGGCTTGGGCTCAGAGCTAAATGTAAAACTAAAAGTAAACTAAATGTGTGCTCCTGGCTGAAATATTCCTAATGCATTCCCAGCTTCAGAAGCACCTAATGCCTCCCTCCAAGGCACTGATGGAGAAGAAGAATGGGAACAAAAGGAAAATTTGAAGAATCCAGGAGTTTAAGGAGGTGACTGGTCGCACTGCAATATGCACACAGGGATTAGCAGCTGATGAAGAGTTTCATCTTTATACTGCATGGAAGAACCTTGATGCTTATGAAGCTACAGAACAGGGTCAAAGCAGCACAGGCCCTTGGCATAAGCCCAAAGAGCCAAAACTCTGAGCAAACCTGATTGTGCTGCCTCCCCTGCTACACAAATGGAGGAGCACTCTGGAGAAACCAGCTCCTTGCTGGGAATTCTGCCATCACAGACAAAGTAACACCAGAAGATGACTGGGCTGTACAGCTGTGCAGCTCACATCCAGCCCAGGCCAGTGCAGCACTTCAGCAACCCAGCTCAGCTGCACTGAAGGGTTTCACTTAGGGAAATCAGGAATTGTTGGGGCAGGAAAAAAGGTTATTTTCCCCACATCCCTAAATGCAAAAGGCTTTATTTCAGGTAGTGAAGGTGACCACTAACCACCCAGTTCAGCCTGAATGCAAAGGTTATCTCCTCCTTCCAAATCTAAAGGTCAAAGACTGACTGTGGATAGCAAATGTCCATGTGGGAAGGGAAGGAACATTCAAATCTGAGGTGTGACAACAAGACTGGGGGCACTGCCAGAGGTACAACGTGTTCAGAGCACGTCATGGACTGAAAGGTCAGCCAAGACAGTTGGGTTGGTCAGCAGGTAAAAGGACCCCAAGACTGAAGGACAGCCTGGGGCTACAGGAACTGAGTTAATAGAATTATAAAGGAAAACAGGTTTTAATATAAATAGTACCAGCAACTGTTACCAGTTTCTAGCCCAGATTTGACTGAAGATAAATATTTTTCCAGGAAAACAGTTAAGAATTGTTCATCTGACAGACACGTGAAAGGAAATATTTCCACGTTACTGAATATGGGTTTATCTGAAAAAGAAGAAAACCCCAATGCAGTCACACCTGCCTTGTAATGAATTTGTTTAGCAGAGAGGCAGCAGGACAGGATCTCTCCACCCTCCTCTTCCTCCCTCAGTACCCACAGACATCACCCAGTCTGCCCAGTGCACTCTCCATAAGGCAAACTGCTTTTGCTCAGGAGATGAATTCCATTCCCCATTTACAGCCAAATCACTTTCTAGAGCACAGAAGAAAACATAATGACAGCATTTAGTGAAGGTATTGGTTTGAGCCTTGCATGTTGTTGCAATTAGATTTGCAATTACAGCATCCTCTCCTTCTCTGCACTCTGAGCTACTCTGCTGTCCTGATTTTCTCCTAAGCATCTTTCATCTATGTGATAATTTACCACTGCTATGTGCTCTCCATTGCAGCAGGGGCAATCCCAAAATCCTTGGTGTTTTTTCAAAAGCAAACAGGACCCCTGGCAACTCCCATCACACTTGGCTTCCAATTAACTGCTAAATATGAGGTCATTTAATCATCCCCATCAAGATCCCAGCAGCTCCCTGGGCTGTCAAGCTACAAGGGGGACAAACTCCAGCTTTCATGTGAGTATGGGAAAACTGCATGGGAGCATGACCAACCCTACAGGCTTCCTTTTCCCTAAAATCAACCACAGCCCTTGCCCTTCAAAGCATCTCTCTAAAACAAAGAGTAAACTTCTCAAGAAAAAAAAAAAAAAAAAAAATCACACAAGGTAAACACAGCAGAAGATGTATTGGAAAAAAAAAAAAAGTTCTGAAAAGCTGAACCAAAGGGTGGCACAATTAAATACTCGATCCTGGAGTTTACTTATCCTCTTTAATTATTTCTAAATATTAATACTGTTAGTGAAATCAATTCTCATCTTCCAACAAGTGGTCCCCAGCTCCATTTTTTAAAATTTCTCCCCATCAAGAGCACTTACTGAAAGCTTTTCCCTCCCTCCTAAAGATGTTGTTAGTTTGGCAGGAAACACAAGTTCTTGTTGAGAAGTCCTCTGTCTAAAATGATTCTCTAAAATGTAATCCTAATTTAGTAATTGCTGCAGTATTTCCACATTCTTCATAACCCATCAAAATCCTCCCCAGGCACTTTGAGATGCCCTTTCTAACCTTATTCTAATACAGCTGCTTTGCTGCTTCCTATCTAAAGAGTTTTCATCAGAATTACTAAAAAGCAATTCCTCTGGGAATTTCCCAAATTTACCCAGCACAGGGTAAATCTCTGCTAACTCACCGTGGCCCTACCCTGGCACAATTCCAGGTGATCTTTACCTTAACCAGTTTAAAATCAACACCTGAACAGAAATGCAGCTCATTCCAAACATGCCCTAAATGCAGAATAATAATTTTGATGTTCATTATAAACTTAGGAAATTAATGCCCTACAGCAAACCCTGGTGCTGCAGCTTGCAGCTGTGTTTGAGGGGATGTAGGTTTGAAAAAGAGGAAGGATAGTGATTTTTTTCAAAGGTTGAACTGTTTCCCTTCCTTCTGCCAGCACCAGCCCATTCATCAAATAAATATTCCTCCCACTATTGCATAAGTAACTAAGAAGAAAACACATTTTATAGTTCTAACCAGAACTAGACCTAATCCCTTGAAAATGTGCTATGGGAAAGAACAGGATGGCACCTCTGCAAAATACCACCCCTAAAATGAAGCTTCTCCCCAGCCCTCCCACCAGCTGCTCTACTCTCTCTGTGTAAAACCAAACTTTGACCTGTTTAACAAGTAGCTTGAAGCTCAAAGAAAATCCCTTTCTGCATCATTCACACCCCAGAGTGGTTTAGAAACAGCAGGAGTATAGGTGGGGTCCTCCAGGACTTTTGGGTTAACTTTAGGGCAAGCCCTGGAAAGGGTTCACATAAACACCATCATCATCATCATCATCACTGCAATTATCACCCCCCCCCAAGTCACTGCTGCACTGCACATCACAAGGGAAACCCACAGACAGCTGCACACTGAGAAGCATCACAGCCATTCCTGCCTGAGTATGGGAAGCAACTGAAGAGTAAAACACGGCCAAAAAAAACCATAAAAAGGTGTCTGACCTTATATATGTACATATAAGTTCAGGCCCTTCTCCTGCTGCTCGTTAGCCCCTCTTCAAACACACACACCCCCCATTCACCACAGACTTTCTAATTAGTTGAAGAAAAGAAAAATCAATAAGAAAGAAATTAAAGTTACAAATCTAACTGAAGCCAGTCACACACCCAGGGAAAACGTGTTCCTGGGGTAAAGTTTATCTAGTGTCATAATTTTATTGAAATCCTATATCTTCCTATTGACTTTTATCGTTTCAAGCTGGATGCCAGAGTTATCATTATTAGAGTCTCAGTGTTGCTCGCAGGCCTGAGGTTTGAGGTGGCTTTTTTATTTTTTTTTTCCTTTTATAAACAAGCTGTAATTGTCTGGTTTATTGATCAATAAATCTTTCAACTGCCTCTCTTCACCCCGCTTCTGTTCTGGTGAGTCTCCTGCACTGTTCTCTGCAAGAAAATATAGGGTTGTTGTTTTTTAAAGAACAGATTGCTTTGTCATTAGCAATGAGAGAGCAGGAATTGTGCCGGTCAGTTCCAATAATGGCTTTTTAATGACAGATTCTAGTCACAGTAAAATCTGCTTTATTTCCACATGAGTGAACACTGACTATTAATCCCCAAGCCAACAGCACAGCTCGCTTGCTCTCTCACTTGTGCACGGGTTAGAGCCTGGCAGAGGAGACACACTCTGTACAGTGGAATCAGAATTCTATTTCCCACTTGGTGCTTTTTTGATGGTACAGAAATATTCCAAGTATTACATCAGCTTGTTGTTTAATTAATGATAATTTTTGGGGAATGTTAACAGGCTGCTTCATTATCAGAAATCAGTGGCAAGATTTCTTCCCCCTCCTCTTCATCTTCAGACTCCTATATCCAAATTAGTTGTAATAAGGGAAAATTTCAAGACTGAAGAAAGATATGGAGCTTCAATATCAAACAGATGCTATTTGC